GGTAGGGCCATTTCCGGCTTGCCAGAGAAACATTTCTTTTCCTTGTCATACTCCCAGATGCTACTGCTGAGCAAATGGGAACATCACCGCCAGAAGTACTTGAAAAGAACAAAAAATTGATTCGGACAATCTGTGTGCTCTTGCCATTGATAGAAATACAATTGTGACTTAGGGTATGACTAGGGTCACAGCAAGGTTAAAAGAAAAGCACCCAGGAATTCTCTCTTGTCATCGGCTTTTTAAACTGACTGTTCTTGGCTGCTGCAGGAAATATGTAAGTTTCTGTCAAATACCAAGGGAGGTTTAATAGTAATTACAAGTTGCTCTTAGGATTTTCCAAGCGGTAGCTACTTTTACAATGGCAGAACACTTGAAATGTGAAGTTCGGATGTTTAGCACACCTGTAGCACTTGAGGACTTCTTGATAACATAGAATTATAAGCCTATTCATAACTAATAATTATATAAGCTGTGTATAAAACTGAGTCTAAATACTCTTCCTCCTAAAGGAACTGTCTGAAGCCTGATACTGATTCCATTAAATTGAAAAGAAATTATTTATTTTTAGAAAACAAATGTATCAAAAGATCAATTACTATCACAAAGCAAAGGTCATCCAATTCATTTAAATAAATATGTGGTGCAAAAATGACAATCACTGAATACATTGCACATTGGTTCATTCTGTAGCAGAAAGCTGAACTATAAACAAATGAATTAAAACATTTGTTAAGGCTATAAGCAGATTCAACGCTTCAAAGCAATGTTATAGTATATGTGATTCAAAAGCCAATATTGTTTAACAATACCTGAATTAAATAATTTTCTTTAAAGTAAAAAGGTAGGATTATTTTTATAATTTTGAATAAACTAGGATCTCCTTTCACAAAGTTCAAGGTTTTATACTTTCACTCAGACTTATTTACCAACATTTAGCCATGAACTTAGCTGTTAGGACACACATGAGCGAGAATATTATCTGTGAAGAGCTAAATATATTCGCTTTTGTGGGTCAATGAAAAAAATAGCTCTGGAGTAAGATCCAAAGGGGAACAAATTAAATAATTGCTAAAGAGACAAGTGTGCAAGTATTTAGAAATATTTTATTTTAACAGCTGAGAAAATTTTAAAAATCTGTCATTGCTCTTAATTCTGTATCATCCAGTCTTTGGCAAAATAGACCATGGAGGAAAAAAAATATATATATATATATATATATTTGGCTTGTGACTAATAAAACCAAGGCATCGAGAAAAGAAAGAGTAACTCATGACAACATGCCAGGCATTAATGCAAACAGTTCACAAACAGCAAGTTCAAGGACCTGTAACTCAAGAAGCAACACTATGCACGTTCTTGAATGCAGACTTTGAACAGACCAGATTTCTTTTCGTGTTTTCGCATTTACAGAACATGATTCCACTGTGCCGTTTTCAGAGGTTCACTGTGAGTCCTCTAAAGGTTTCTTTATCATTTAATATTATAAATAATTATGCTCCTGGGCGGCAGTTCAAAGCCCAGTACAGCACTCGTACAACACCACAGGCAGGTCAGGTGACCTTTCTCCAATTCTCCTCTCTCTGGTGCTGAGGACAGACAAAGTGATATGTCTGTCATACGCCATTACCATTAGAACAGAATCTTGTTCTTTTATTACAACTGAACTCTGCCAGATTTCTCAGCAGGAATGCTAAGTGAAATCAATGTCTTGGATTTCCAGGCTGAGCTTGGAGGTCACAGCCACTCTATCATTTCTCAGCATTATCCTTTCTCTCTCGCACACACACTCCCCAAGCCTCCAACTGGCACACAGCAGATTGAAAACAGCATGCATCAGAGGACTCATGCTGTACAATTTTACAGTCTTTTGGAGCCCCCTCCTTTTGATTCCCCCCTTCCATTTTTTTGCAAATTGCAAATAAGTTTTGTTTGTGTCCTTCTCTAGAGTTCTGAGTCAAAGGCAAAGGCATGCCCAGGAAGAAGGGCAGGCAATACAACTCAGAGAACATGGTTAATTTTTGACAGCTATTAATAAGATCATTATCCTCACATCATCACCTGGATATGACTTATGATTCCATTGTTCCAAACAGCAAATGTACTTTTAACTTAAACCATCAATTTGGTTTATGCCAGGTAGGTATGTAGACAAAACAAAATGCTTTAATAAAATAATTCTATTTTATGGTAAGATAGACGTGAAAATGTGCCAATAAAACACACAGAAAATACCCCCAAGACATTAATAATTGATTGCTTAAAAACATAAATATGATAATAAATGATAGCTATTACACATGAATAAAATAGCTTTGTGAAGTCAAAATGTTTATTATGCTATGTATAAATGTCAATTCCAAGCTACAAGAAAGTAAATTCATGTATTGTAATGGGTTATCTTTATTTACTGTAGGTTGTATTTTTTTGGCCATGTTCTTCATTAAAATGACAACAGTATTACTTATTGGTGTGGCTATTTTTAACCCACTACATTTTACTGCTGAGCTAAAACACAAACACATTTAAGAAATCTTTTCTGATAGTTAGAGTGGTTGTGGACAGTATGCTAGAGGGCACTGAGTATAGAAAGGGCATATTTTTATGAAATCGTTGTTATTTGAAAAGAAGTACTTTGTTCTTAGTTAAACCTTTGTGTATTTTACAATAATTATGGATGGACAGAAGTACAACACCCACTGTTTTCTTAAACTTTATAAGATAGAAAATTCATAAAGGTTCATTTTCAAAAAGTAATTGAATTTCAAAGAAGAACTATAAATATATTTTTAAATAGTGTATAATCATGGCTATAGAAATACAATCTACTTTTTCACTTGTATTAAATAAACGGAGGTATATAAAACCATAGGATGTGGCAGATTTCTGACAGTACTGAAATAATCATTCTCTTTTGAACAAAGTCTATAAGGCTCTATGAATGTATAGAAATTTATAGCTCATAAAGCAGTTTCTTAATCTTAGTGAAGCAAACCTTCAGTTACCTTAGCATTTTCCCTGGTTTCCTAATAAAAAATCATTGTAGCAACTGCTCAATAAACAGTTGAATGGATAAATGACTGAATGGACAAATGAATAGATGCATAAATGAATGAGGCTGGCTGACATCAAAACCTTCATGATGATTTTTATAAGTAAACTGGTGAGAAGGTATCAATGACAAAAAGTGATTGTAGGTGGAAGAAAAAAATCTATCAGCCATTTAAAAGTGAGCTACATATCCTAAAATCATAAAGTGAAATGTCCTGATGTAAAGCCTCATTATGAAACATGATGTGAAATTACATCAATAAATCAAGGAAAAAACCAGAGAATAATATCTCACAGATGTATCTGTGTGTAACAATGACTATGTTGCTACAGCTATTTATTTTATCGAAACTGCTTTTTTAAATAGGTAATATAGTAAAACTTCTGGTCCACAGGAACACTAAAATTATCACTGCTTTAAAATTAAATTTATTTCATAAATGTTAAAATTATTAGCAAGTTTTAAAAACTTATGCTGTTGTGATTATAAAGAAGAGCAGACCAGACCTTAGATATACATTAAGCACAGAAGACGCATGGTCTAATAAACAGCTGAAATAGATCTTCAAAGTGGCATATGTATACTCCTATTGTCAATGTAGTATATATAATAATTTTCATTATATATTTCTACATACTATTGGAAAATCATAGTCTAAAGTTCTTGTCCAGGTTAAGTTATAGTCCCCAAAATATTTTTATTTTAATAATATGGAAAAGGACTGGGGAGTTCTAGGAAGATGGAGGCTGGAGTGCCCTTTTCCAAATGATTGATTGATCCTTTCTGCTTACTGATTCACTCTCTGGAACATACAATAACTCCGAAAGACATCCTGACAGAGCCATCAGAGTACTAGAGAAAGATTTTTTTAGGATTCTTGTATTTTTCTCTTTTAGTATTTTCTAATCCTTTTCTCTGCGTATTTCAACGATTTTGACTATTCTTACCCTGTTATGCTTTAGACATTTCAACATGGCATTCATGGGATGGCGAACAGAAGCAATTTTCTAGGTAATTCAGAAAAAAAAAGTATTTTGCAGGTAAACTACCTGTGTCAGCTTTCTATTCAACATTTTCTAATAGAATCAAAATATTTTGTGGTTATTTCCCTAAGTATTCTCAGGGAATGTTGCTTTATGATCACTCTCTTCTCACTTCTTGCATGGAAAGCTTAATATATTTATACAATATCATTTAAGCAAGATCTTAATATAAATATAAACTTAAAATCATGTTTTCTCTCCTTTTAGGCCAAGAAACATACATTATTTGACTTTTCCGTGATCCTTTTCCATGTGTTCTAATGTTTTCTTAGCTTCAAAAACAAAACTACTTCTAAATAGCCTTACTTCTGACACTACTATTATCTTCATTTCCTTACATGATAATTTCACTGGGAGGGTGTTTTATCTAAAATTATATCTATACTGTACCACATTATAACAGTCATGGATATATTTAAAACACTTTCTGTAGGTCCTAATTCTACTTATTTTTTAAGGTCTATTTCAGTTGTCCCTTCTCTGGCAAACTCCTGCTGGAATCTCTCACTGAAGATAATCTCTGCCACCCAATATAACTTCTAATGTACTTTATCTGTAACTTTTTATAAAATTTATTTTGTATCATAGAATATGGTTATCTGGCTATTTTTATAAATATCTACATAATCAGACTGTAAGCTCCTTGGGTACAAGATACCCATATGATAATCTTTTTTATCTCTCACATTGTCTACTATAGTTATCAATACATGCATATTGAATAAGGGAATAAATGATTAAATGTATGCAGATAAGTTTACATGCACACCTGTTGCCCTTACTTGATTCTTACTTCCTTTTACACCCAGAGTTTAACCAAGCTGCTGGCATATAATAGACATTTAATAAATACCATTGAATGAAAAATAAAACGAAGTGGCAAGACAATGGCTTCTTCAAAAGGGTACCTTGCTTTTGGGTGGTGGGCTGTTTGTGCTCTTGTCTGTGTGAATGCTGGTAGGAGATACAGCAGCACCAAGGTTGCCTTGGGGTATGCCTGGCAGCTTCCCTCCTGGAGATACCTGCATTGCAGCTAGCTGGGCAGCATATAACTGCTACAAAAGAAAAAAAGAGAGAGAGAGGGAGAAAGAACACTATGAATAATAAAATAAACGCACCTTTCAGAAAGTACATATATTCAGATGTGGTATTTTTCCTATGGGCAATTTGTTTAGTGCACTGGAATATTTAAAGCAAGAAACTGTCACCTCAGCTTTCATTACTTTTTAGGGGAGAAATGACAGATACCACATATAAGCGATCTCATCTTCAGTATGTCCAGGGACTCAAAGCAAATAACAGCCATCCATATTTACTTTATTCCAATGTCTATGGAAGGCAAGCATAACACATTATCTAGTTAAGAGCTTTTTATATTCTATTTTAAATTTACATAGTGTGTTAGAAAAGGATGCTTCATATACACAGTAATTTTCTTACTGTCTATATTCGTTCAAGCCCTGTATGCCTCTTTCTTTGATTTCTTGAAATGGGCACCGGAAACAATTTTTCTGAGGGTTAGGTGGATAGAAATACAGAAAAGACAATGAAAGGCAATGAAAAAAAAATACTCAAAAAACATCTGGTCAGTCTAACTATATTGATAAAAATTAACTGGATGATTGCCAAAAGTTCACTTTACTTCATTATATATAAATGCAGACAAATCTCAAATTATCTTGAGGTTTAAGGTTTAAAAGAAATCTGCCTAAAACATATTCTTCCACTAAGTCATTACTTAATAGTTCTTATTAAATAAGTGATAAAAATAGTCCAAGTAATTAATAAAAGAAAAATTTTACTTTGATAATGATAGCGATATATTATCCTAAAATAAGGAAGTTGCTTTCAACTCAAATATTATATCAAGTATTCAGATTATTATTCTTTTCATCTTCCTTTTGCACTTGGTTAAAATTTTAAGTAACTACATAAGGAAATAATTATTAAATAAATATTTAAATTATTAAATATTTAATTATGCATTTATTATTAAATATACAAATTTTACATGCACACACACATTACAGTTTCTTATTTCTCATTTGTCTTGAGATTCCACGGATAGTGTTTACAATGCGAGCTCGAATTTCTATAAAGAAGCAAGAAAAAACCCTCTCAAAACTTCTATAAAGAAGCAAGGAAAAAACCTCCAAATAGTTATGTGGATTATCTTAATTTTTTTTTCTGAAAGAGAAATTTCAAAAGACAAAATTGCTCATGGTAAGCCACAGATCCTGATAAGCAGTGTCTCTCTATAAATAAAATAATGAATACTGAAGACAGCACATATTTACATAAAAATACACATAAGTCTCCAGGTACTATAACCTAAATAAAAAGACATTAAAATTATTGACAAAAATTATGGCTTATTTTTATGCAAAGTAATATAAAATATATTCCAGAGAAAAACTGAAAAACCAGAAAAATAATTTTGTATTTTTAATAATTGTCTCACAAAGTTTTTATGTGTTGGAATAATTATATCTTTCCTATCCCTGCCAATTAGAAAAAATAAAAATTATTGCCTTCAATTACATAAACATTAAAAGAATAATTTACTTCAAAAATGAAGACTTGAGAGTTTATTATTTAAAGCAAAACTATCAGAATTGATCCATTTCCTCCACCTGTGTTAAAAATCTATGCGTTACGTCCTGCAATATAAAAATCACTTTTTTCTGTCATCATTCTAAACTATTTACAAAGTCTTTAAGAAAATAACCAGTTATCCTAGGATATCACTTTACGTATTAAAACTCTGTCCAGTAGAATGCATGTACTAATAATGAGTTTTTAAAATATATGTATTTTCACAAATTAACTAGAAAACTATATTACATTTTATGGATTTCATATTGTATTGTATATTGTATTCTTATCTTTAAAAATGACTTCACTGGATATTATTACTTGATGATAAAAATTCCTATTACTGATATACACTAAAAATGAGATTATTTTATAATTAATAATGACATGGAACATTATAATATCTGTGGGTAAAGGATATTTGAACAAAACAGTTATTCAAAATTTAATTTTGATTCTTTGAAATATTGACAAAATTATTAGTTATTTGTGTTATTTAGATATTTAAATAGCTTAACCAAGTATTCATTACAGGTGATTTAATATTTAAATATGAGGCACCATAGACAGTCATAATTTCAAAAGAAATATAAGAATACTATTAAAAATACAGTATAAAAACTCTAAAATACTTTATTGAATTAAAGGATTTAAAGGATGGAGATGACACATATTTGGAAACAAAAGTTATACATATTCTTTCCTCATTCAAATAAATGCACTTTTACCCTTTTAAATATGGAATTAAAGTGTATCTGAGTTAAAATGTCCTAAAAGAAATGCTTTTGAGTTGAAAGAGAAGAAACATTTGTAAAGGAGGTAGAGTTAAATACGCTAATATTTCTATAATAACAGTATCATATCATTTGCCTTGCTTGTATTTCTATAGAATACAGAGACTTAACGTACTTTATGATGAGATTTTCATGAGGCTGCTATTCAGTTTGAGAATGGTTAATATTAGGGTGCTTTTCTCTTCCCCGAATTGCCCATATTTCCTTTTTCATATTTGGCTTCTATGCAAAAGGACAAATTTTAAAATTACTCTTCCCCAACTGTGATCAGTTCTCTACTATTTCTACATTGCATTTTCTACCAAGCATATCAAATATTCCTGGTTTACCAAGGTATTGAAGCACATTTGTTGTCATATATATGTTTTCTTAAAAGTTTCATTGTAATACAAAAGCAAAATTGACAGTTGTCCTACAGAATTTAACATACTTTGAGTACGCACAGATAAGATCAATCAGGAATTTTAATACTGCTAGATTCTAACTTGGCCATTCACAAGTTAACACAAAAGTTCAGTAAACTTAAAGAAGCTGACAGTAATTCTTCTACCTGTCTATATGTATAAGAGTGGATAATTTTCTTAAAATGCTGCTGTGACTTATTTTAAATCAAACTTTCAAAAAATCATGCTCCTTTTTCTATCTATTAAAATATGTGTAGTGACTGATTTTAAAACAAAGAAGTCAAGAAATGATGAACAATTTCCTTCTTTTAACAAATGTTCTTGAAGCAAAATCAAGCCGAATAAAAGGTGTCTGCCCTAAGAGAAATCCATAGTCACAGAATCATTGGTTGATCTTGTAGAGTGGGAAGGGGCATGAAATTTAGTGAGTATTAGAAGGGCACCAGCACTTTAAAGGATGGAGTGACAGGCACTGAAGAACTATATAACCCACTTATGTTTGTATGCACGCACGTTATGTATGTATGTATGTCTTAAAGCTAAAATCTGGTTAACATCTTTCTTTAAACAATGACAGATAAAACCCAAAGTTGAACATAAGGTATATCATGATGAACGTACTTTTATGATATTGAAGTTGTTTAAAATATCAGAAACAAACAGATGACACTAAACAAATCAATGACATTAAACATAAAAGACTGAGCTGAGCCAGATTCGGTGGCTCACACCTGTAATCTCAGGACTTTGGGGGACAGAGGCAGGAGGGTTGCTTGAGCCCAGGAGTTTGAGGACAACCTGGGCCACACAGCAAACATAGTGAGACCTTGTCTCAACAAAACAAAACAAAACAAAATGGCAGAGCTGAAAGAGAACACAGAAAGAACTAATTTCATTAGTTTAACCAGACTCACAGTATTTTAGCCTTGCAGAATAACTTGACTCTTACCCTGAAATTAATGTCAGGGATTGGATGTGATCTTTAAAACTTCACTACTCATCAGAGCCTTCCAGTCTTTCTATTACTTAAAATCTTGCATTCTTATTCTCTTTTAGTACCCCATACCTATACCTCCTTTAGACAAGGAGTTTATAAGGAAACAATTACAAATGCTTAGGTTAGAATCTATTCTTTATTACTTCATGTATTCCTGGTACTCAAAGTTCATATATATTACATACGTATATATATAAGCAACTCTCATTTTTGTCGCAAATTGCTCTATCATCTAGATTTTTGTCTCTTCAACATTTTAAGCTCCTGTAAGGACCATGGTTTCCACTTCTAGTGGAAAAGTTAAGAAGCAAGGGCTTTGGACACAGGTAGAACTGAATTGTGATTGCAGCTCTTAAGCCATGTGAGCTTGGGCAACTTCTCTGAGTCACAATTCCTTAATCTGTAGATTCAGAGATAAATGAAACTGACCTTATAAAGGTACTGTGAGACAGGAATCACATGATGTGTACAAAACACTTAGGAAAGCGCAAGATAAAGAATGCCTGATCAATAAATAAGTTATAATTATTAATGGGTTAATTACACAAAGTAAGAAACTAGGCGATATATACGTGATGACTCTGGACTGTTATTGGTATAACAGAGGAGAAAGAAAGTGTGTGAACATAGTTGCTGCCTTAAGTCAAGATGGATAAACAGAAAACAATGAGACTGTAAGTGTACTGTAACTGTATGTCACTATCAAAGGTGTTAAGAGAGAAGAAATGCGTCAGTGCATTCAGGTATGTTTTCGTAGAAGAGATGGAGTTAAAGTGGACACAAAAAAAGAGATGGCATTCTAGGAAGGGAGTACAATTAAAAGAAAGGCATGAGAGCAAGAATGAGCTAGTTGCTGCAAAGAAAATATAGAGATTGGTGTAAAACAGTGAGAGGTTGAAAGGACAGCTAGCATAGCCATGTTAGAGGAAAACAACATTAGTTTTGTAGGCTACATGTACCTTATGCAGGCTTCTGAAACTTAAGCAAAAGAGTTTTAATTGAATACGTAGTAAGAGAAAGACACTGACAGTTTGAGAGCAACGATGTTTTTAGGTAGGATACCAGTAAGACATAAATGTCAGCTACGAGGTTATCAACATTTAACAGTGATAATTATGATCATAAGAAGTTGAGTTGCAATAAGAGTTGTGAAATGAAGATGGAAAAAATAATTTCAAGTTGATAACATACCAGGCACATAAAAATTGCCAATTAACTTGGGAAAAGAAAAGAGAAACAGAGGAACAGGATGATAATAAAATTTA